CACATAAGTAACACCCGAGCCTGAGCATGTTCTGCGGTCGTCTTTTGATGGGCAGCTACTGGGAACCAAAACCGAGCCCATGTGCGCGACGCTGGGGCTAGGTGCGCCACGCGTGCCAGGCGCGCCACGCGCGCCGGGCCCCCCTGGGGCCCGAGCGTGCCAGGCACGCCTAGTGCGCCATATGCTCCCTCCAGCCGCGTCAGGTGCGCCACGTCCGGGGCACGTGCAGAGTGTGTCAGGTGCGCCTGCGCACATGACAGCACACATCGGGAAACATGTCGGCCCCCACCATCCCTGTCGAAAACCAGTGCCCATCATTATGTCTGGTGGGTCTGCGCACAGCAGGCCATCCACCACCACCCCCGCCGTCCCTGACAAAAACCACTTGACAGTGATCGCGGGGTGGCCGCGCACTATCCAAATTTAGCCGCGAGGTGTATTTTGTATTGTGTTTGTCAGGGATGGTAGCCCTGCGCGCAGCAGGCAATATGCTGACACCACCGCCGTCCCTACCGAAAAACAATACAAAGTGCCCGTGGGCCTCACGAACATGACTACAGACTTTGCCCCAAACTGTGCTGTGTTTTGTTTTTTCCCCACATCCAAAGTGGGGTTCTTGTTTTCTCTGGACACCCCGCGCAGGACCAGGAACACACACACACACACCCACTCACACTCTCTCATCATCAACCTCATCAGCATATTCGATGATGCTCTCTCACATTCTTAGTCACTCACATACTCATCATCATCACTCGCACTCTCTCACACGCTCACGAACATCATCATCATCATCATCATCATCATCATCATCATCATCATCATCATCATCATCATCATCATCGGCATCGGCATCGGCATCATCCTCATTCAAACATCATCATCGCCACCACCACTCACAATCAATCATCATCCTCTTCACCACTCATCTTCACCACCACTCATCATCCTCATCCTCATCATCGTTGAGTAAATTGTGAGGAAGTCTCAGGCGGGAGCCCCCTCCCTATGGGGCCCGCAGATCATGTTGGTAATCCGAGCGGGTCATCGGGATCCTGTAACTGTCGTCACTTTTGAGCTCCCCAGGCCTGAAAATGGAGGAAGTCTCAGGCGGGAGCCTCGTCTGTGAGTGAATTGGGAGGAAGTCTCAGGCGGGAGCTCCCTCCCTATGGGGCCCGCAGATCATGTTGGTAATCCGAGCGGGTCATCGGAAACCTGTAACTGTCGTCACTTTTGGGCTCCTCAAGCCTGAATTTGGAGGAAGTCTCAGGCGGGAGCCTCGTCTGTGAGTGAATTCTGAGGAAGGCTCAGGCGGGAGCCCCTCCCTATGGGGCCCGCAGATCATGTTGGTAATCCGAGCGGGTCATCGGAACCCTGTAACTGTCGTCACTTTTGGGCTCCCCAGGCCTGAAAATGGAGGAAGTCTCAGGCGGGAGCCTCGTCTGTGAGTGAATTGGGAGGAAGTCTCAGGCGGGAGCTCCCTCCCTATGGGGCCCGCAGATCATGTTGGTAATCCGAGCGGGTCATCGGAACCTGTAACTGTCGTCACTTTTGGGCTCCTCAAGCCTGAATATGGAGGAAGTCTCAGGCGGGAACCTCGTCTGTGAGTGAATTGGGAGGAGGTCTCAGGCGGGAGCCCCCTCCCTATGGGGCCCGCAGATCATGTTGGTAATCCGAGCGGGCCGCCGGCGCCCCTGCGGAAGGCGCTCCTGGAGTTCGACAAGAGAGCGGTTTTGTCCAGGGCGGAGGCGAAGCAGCTCGCGGCAGAGCTGGGTTTCGTGCTGCCTTCCGCCTGAGCGCGGCTGCGCCTCGCTCGAAGCCCGCGGGGTTGTCCCAACGGCTTGGTCTTGCGCGCCAACGGCTCGCGGGGTTGTCCCGACAGCCTGGCCCGCGGGGTTGTCCCAACGGCTGCGCGACGTGACCAGTAGAGAACGCGCCTGTGCTGGCCGTGGCGGCGACGGCGCCGAGGAACATCGACATGCGCGCTCATGCAACAGGAAGGGGAGGAGGTGGCGGGGCGCGGAACAAACAGGGGGGCGAGGATGGGGACAACGTAAGGAGTGGAAGGGGGGCCCGCGCCAAGGCGACAGGAAATATACGCAGAAGAGACAGCCAGGACGCCTCACCAACCACGAGGACGACGGTGATGGTTTTTTTTCCAGATTCGCCCAGAGGATTCTTATGTGGGGTTCTTCCGTCGGAGTAATTGACAGGGATGGCGGGGGGGGGGGGGCGCATCGGGTTGGTGCGCATGCTCCGAATTTGGAAGCAGAGAACGGTTTGTGTGTATTATATATATAAATATATATATATTATATATATAATATATATATATATATATATAGATATTATATGACAGGGATGGTTGGGGTGGGCCTTCATGGTGTGCGCATGTTTCCCGGTTGGCTGCTGGCCGGGTTGGGGAGGGGGTGTTTATTAGTAGGGAACAGAATTATAAGGAGTAGGAATGGAAGAGGAGGAGGAGGAGGAGTCCTCCAGGAGGAGGACGACGAGGTGGAGGAGGAGTAGGAAGGGGAGGATGAGGACCAGTGTAAGCCCAAGAGTCATCAACGATGTTGGAATATACCCTCCATCCAAGTTCCCTCTTCACAGGTTCCTACAACGGTTCACCTCGATTGAGGGAACTGCCTCGTCGGAAGACAATCGTCTGAAGATTATGAAGCATGCCGAAACATTGTTTTCGGGATTCCAGCACCACGGATCAACCTGACTATTGCGTCTTGAATAGCCTGAATCGTGCCAGAACGCCATTCTTGGGACTTCAACTTCGCTAACCAACGTAATTGTTGCACCCGCATAATCCTGAATCTTTCCAACACATCATGTCTGGTACGTTGATCATGCGACTACGTGAAGCCCGTGTAAATTTGATAAAAGAGTGCGTGTGGCGCTGAGGCGAGAGCCACATGTTGAAAAGGAACCGCCCTTTACGCGTGAAGCTCGTGCAACTTTGTCAAACGAATGCACGCGGCGCTAAGGCGAGAGCCACATGTTGAACACCACCCGCCTTCATCCGTGAAACTCTTGCAAAATTGTCAACGAATGCACGCGGCGCTCAGGCGAGAGCCACATGTTGGAAACCACCCGCTTTCAATCCTTAAAAATTGTGCAACTGTGTATAGAGAAATGTGCGCGGTGCTCTGGCGAGAGCTACGTTTTGGAAAGGAACCGCCCTCAATCCGCGAAGCTCGTGCACACAACCAGCGAACGTGCGCGGCGCTCGGGCGAGAGCCACATTTTGAACACCAACCGCCCTCCATCCGCGAAATGGTTGCCAATGTTTAAGCTGAAGGGCCATCAGTGATGAGGAAGTCTCAGGCGAAACGCCCGGTCCGCCCTAAAAGCTGGCCTCGGGGTGCGACGGGGAGAAGTTCTGTACCATTTGTTTTGACATCGACGCTCCTTCCAAGCCGCACACTGGGGGGACGGCGCCTCCCCCCAGAGGCGCCTCCCCCCAGGGGATGCCAGGTACAAAATGTGTGAAGGCAAGGCACAGGCGAACATATTACGTAATGAAGGAGTAGGAGGAGGAGAAGGAGGAGGAGGAGGGGGAGGAGGAGGAGGAGGAGGAGGAGGAGAGGAGACGGAAGAGGAGGAGAGAAAAGGGAGGAGGAGGAGGACGAGGACGCGGACGAGGACGTGGACGAGGACGAGGACAAGGAGGAGGAGGAGGACGAGGAGGAGGAGGGGGAGGTGGCAAGCTAGGTACGCTAGCGCCAAGTCTGACATCATACCCATCTCTCCCATGCCTCACCATGGCGTCGATCTCCCATTTATCCGCACACTCGGATGTCGAGCAGGGCAATCCCAAGCGGGTACGCGATGGACAGAAAAGCATGGCGCAGAAGAGCACGGCAGAGTTTAGCATGTCATAGCATTGCGTGGCATTGTGTAGTGAAGCATTACATCACAAAGCATATCAACACAACGCAAAGCACGGCATCGCACGGCGGTGCACAACACAGCATCGCATTGTATGCCGTGGCACTGGACCGACGGAGGCCAGGACCGACGAAAATGAGACCAGCGCTGCAGCGGGAGCACGATGTTGGAGGACTGGAGCGCGGGAGCGAGGCCAGGACCGAAAACGGAAATGAGGCCACCGTTGCAGCGGGAGCACGATTTGGAGAAGCCGAACAGCTGGAACAAGGCCAGCGTTACAGCGACAGCGCTAAAGGAAAGGACCGAACACGCCAGTGCTGCTGCACGATGCTGGTTGACCGAAGCGTGGAAATGAGGGCGGCGCTGCAGCGGGAGCACCATTTTGGAAGAACCGGAAACGACCTGATTGAAACACATACGTAGGACAAATCATACCAACTAGTGACATGTTGTGTGTGAACAAAGCGCGGAGAGGACGGGATATTATTTGGGCAGGTTCAAAGGAGAGGGAAGAGTTATATTCATTTTGTGACATCGTACAGGAGGAGGAGGAGGAGGAGGAGGAGGAGGAGAAGAAGGAGAAGGTGGAAGAGGATGAGGAGCAGGAGAACGATGACAAGGACGAGGACGAAGACGAGGAGAAGGAGGAGGAGGAGAAGGAGAAGGTGGAGGAGGAGGAGGAGGAGGACGAGGACAAGGACGAGGACGAAGACGAGGAGGAAGAGGAGGAGGAGGAGGAGAAGGACGACGAGGAGGGAGGGAGGGGCGAGGGGGAGGGAGGAGGGACGGAGGGAGGGACGAGGAGAGAGGAGGAACAAACTAGGAGGAGGAGGAGGAGGAGGAGGAGCAGGAGGAGGTGGAGGAGGAGGAGGAGGGGAATAAGGAGGAGAACGAGGAGGAGGAGGAGGAGGAAGAGGTAGTGGAGGAGGAGGAGAAAAAGAGCGAAGAGGAGAACGAGGAGGAGGAGGAGGAGGAGGAGGAGGAAGAGGAGGAGGAGGAGGAGGAGGAGGAGGAGGAGCAGCAGCATATGCTCAAGCCCATGGAGGTCTCGGGGGGCGTGGCCGCGGCGGCCGCTGCCGCCTCAGACCCCGCGTCAGGCCTTCCCCAGCGAGGGCGGCCACGCGGAGTTCGCCCCGCGCGGCGCGGGCAACGACGAGACGCAGATCGAGCTGCTAAGGCGCCCTCCCCAGACCCCCTCGCGCTGCGACAAAGATCATGACGGGAGGTCTTTCGCTATTTTCGGCCTTCGGTCTCGGCACCGTCAAGCAGAACACGGGAAGGGGTCCCGGCTTTGCACGGCTTGCCCCAGGGCCATAGGCGACCCGAGGAGGTGGATCAGGAAGAGGAGGAGGAAGAGAGGAAGAGGAGGAGGAGGAGGAGGAGGAGGAGGAGGAGGAGGAGGAGGAGGAGGAGGAGGAGGAGGAGGAGGAGGAGGAGGGGGAGGGGGAGGAGGAGGATGGGGGAGTGAGGAGGAGGAGGAGGAGGAGGAGAGGAGGAGGAGGAGAAGGAGGAGGAGGAGGAGGAGGAGGAGGGAGGAGGAGGAGGAGAGGAGGAGGAGGAGGAGGAGGAGGAGGAGGAGGAGAAGGAGCAGGGCGGAGGAGGAGGAGGAGGAGGGAGAGGAGAAGGAGGAGGAGGAGGAGGCGGAGGAGGAGGAGGAGGAGGAGGAGGAGGAGGACGGGTCGCCTAAGCCCTTCGGAGACCAGCTCTTCGGGGTCACGTCATGAAAAAAACACGACGTCGGGGGTCTCGCTCCGCTCCGCCGGCGGCCGCCGCGAGCGCACCCTTCGGGGCCCATCCTCCGATCCGATCAGATTCGATTTCGACGGCTGCCGATTGCCGGTCCGATCCGACCTCGGATTCTGATGTGGAATCTGATTTCTCGACGGAGGCCTATTAGCTTGCCCATTTTCCGCCGATGAGACTTCTCTGGATTCGGCTGTCGATTTCCCCGGTCCGATGCATCTGGATCGACGATCAGACTTCTCGATCCGATTTTGGGCTCTCCTGGCGTCGCGGCCACGCACGCGGCGGCGCGGCGTAGGCAGTCGAGCTGAAGAACGCGCCCGCCCAGGCCAGATCACGCGGCGAGGGGGCCAGGGATCCGCCCATAGTGGATCGACCGGGTCACTCGCGGTGGGCCGCGAGGGGGCGGGAGGCGGAGAGGGAGAGAGGGGGAGAGGGGGGAGAGTGGCGGCAAGTGGAGGTCTGCAGTGCAAGACGCAAGGTGGGGCCGCAGGCGCACACTCGGGGGAAGGAAAGGTAATAGCCGATGCCGCCGCTCGTCCCGGAGAGCCCTCGTTGCCGCGGCTGCCTCGAGGCTCTGGTCAGAGTGCATCTCAGTAGATGTCCGTGGAGTGGCGGTATCAGTACCTTTGTGTCCCTGCAGCCGCGGAGTTGGCGTGGTCGTGTTCCTCCTCCTCAGCCTCTTCCTCCTCCTCCTCCTAATTCTCCACCTCCTCCTCCTCCTCCTCCTCCTCCTCCTCCTCCTCCTCTTGGTCCTCCTCCTAATCCTCCTCCTCCTCGTCCTCCTCCTCCTCCTCCCTCTCCTCCTCATCCTCCATCTCCTCCTCGTCCTCCTCCTCCTCCTTTCCTCCACTCCTCCTCCCTCCTTTTCTTCCTCTTTCCTTCCTCCTTTCTTCCTCCTCCTCCTCCTTTTCTTCCTCCTCCTCCTCCTCCTCCTCCTCCTCCTCCTCCTCCTCCTCCTCCTCCTCCTCCTCCTCCTCCCTCTAGTCCCCCGCCAGGAGCTGTGAACAAAGACCATGACGGGCGTTTCCGTCCCGTGTTTTGAGATGTTCTGGGCCGGAGGGCCTTCGCGGGTTGACCAGGCCCAAGAGGCGCCTCAAATCGGCCCATGCTGGGAGTTCCAGTCATGACGCATCATGATGTTGTCTCCCCCCTTCGTGTATGTATTGTTGGGCTCTCGCTCTGAATTTGCAGCGCTGCGCGTCTCTTTCTCTTCCTTGTTTTCCATCACTCTTTATCAAAGCCTGATGCCTGCCCTACCACCAGCCGTGTCCGTAGGCCAGGCTGGACGGTTCGCTTGGGACTTCCTCGTAAGGTCCGATCCCGGAGTGCAACATTACCAACAGCTACACGGATGGAGGGCCAGTTGTTCGCAAATTGTGGATCTCGCCTCAGCGCCGCGCACGTGCTTTTTTTGTTAATAGTATTCCGACCTCACACGTATGGAGGGCCTGTCGTGTTCAACATGTGATTCCGGCTATAGCACCGGTGCATTCGTGCATTTTGTCTTGACACTGGATGGCACGTGCATTTCACATGTTAATTTCGCTTGAGACTCCCTCCAACTTAGCTGCCCTAGTATGCCCGTTTGGAAACGTCCGTTTTCAAGACGTCCGTGTGAATACGTTGCGTGTTGGCTCAATTTGTTGGCCCACGTTTTGGCGACCGCATTGCGCCACACCTACGTTTTCAGTCTACGTGCTGAGCTCCGTATCAATACGCCACGTGTCGCGTGTTGCGTATAGGGGCAGCTAGGCCCTCCAAACGTATCAACGAAAGCTTACACATGTGAAACACATACTCGAAAGGAGGGCGGTTGTGTATGGATGCAGGGTGGTTCATTTTCAAAGCGGTATTGTCATTTACTATACCCTTGAATGTAGTAAAACCCAACGTTGCCACGCTCCTTACAGCTCAAAGGGCGGCAGTGGCAAAAAAATGTGTGCAGGGACGAATGAGCAGGGGACTTGGGACGGGAGGGTGCGTTCCCGCATCGTTGATACATCTTGAGTTTACTGTCGAAACCGATGGCAAGTAATGACGGCAATCTTCCGAAAGGGTACCCTTACATGCTTGCCTTGTCTGTCCATACCTGACTGCTTTCGATGGCCAGTCGCGCTCGAAAAAGCTTGAAGCACGGGCGTCCAAGGGGCTTGCATCCTCACCGCGCATCCCTACCATCAGTTTTGACTGCAATCTGGCCCCCTCCAGTCTGCTCCTCCTCCTCCTCCTCCTCCTCCTCCTCCTCCTCCTCCTCCTCCTCCTCCTCTGCTTCCTGCCTCTGCCGGCTACATGCAAGAGTGACCCTTCGCCGGAGTGACCTTTGGTGCGGGTTCATCGGGGTCCCCCCGATCTGCTTGCGTGTTGAGATGCGGCTACCTTGCGCCCCCGTAGTCCGCGCACCACGGGTCACTCTCGCCTGGGCTCACTCCGGCGCGTCGCCGACTCCGCTCTCCGTCCTGCCCGGCCCGGCACGCCCCCAGCACACGCTCCGTGCTCCCGCGCGGAGCTCCACCCGCGGCCCCTTTTTCGCGGGCGCGCCCGCGCGCCGCCCGCCGCCCCTCGCTCGGCGCCACCCCATCACACCGAGCGTGCCCCACGGGGGGAGCTCCACCTGCACTGCTGTCGGCCGCGCGCAGAGGGGGCGGGGGGGAGGGGGCAGTTGTTGTTCAATCCTTCCAGGCAACCCTCGGTCCTGGGCGACACACGGTCTGCAACGGCAGGGTGAAGATGTCACGGAATACCTCCGGGAGGTGGTGAACAATAGGGGGGGGTAGGGGGCAGGGGGGAAGGCCTCTCGGAAGCACCCCTGCCTCTCAGAAGGCGCGGGCCTTGTCTACAGAGGTGAGGCCGGCGCCTTCTAAGCAGCAGCCTCTTTCCAGGAAGCCTTGCCCCCTCCCCCATACCCTAGCGGGCGCGCCCGCGCCCGCGCGCCGACCCCTGGCCATCGCGGCACACCCTTCACGCCGATGGCGCCCCCCTGGGGTCCGCACCTGCCCTTCCAGTGGTTCCCCGGGGCGAGCTCGGCACGGGAAGAGAAGGCCACGCCGTGCGCGACCCGTGGGTGCACATGGGGCTGGGTTAAGTCGGGCATGTCCCTCTACAGGCGGAAGATTCAAAAACAGCAGAACAAATGGTGCGGGGACGATTTGTCGATGCTTTTTATACCACGTTTGAATATTTGTTGACTATTCTTGAGTGTCCTTCCAGAGTCCGCCTGTAGGAGGACATGCCTGACCTAGGGGATGGGCCCTTCGCCAGGCTGGTCGTTCTCCCAACATCAGATCGCAGGGTCTTCCTCGTCTACATCGGACTGAACCAGAGAAGCGGAGTTGTTGCCCCCCCCCCGACCCCCTCGCTCGTGTCCGCAGCGGCGGGCGTGCGTGATCTTCTGCCTCGTGTATGCCGCACCTCGCAGTCGCCGTCGTTGTCGCCGCCGTCGGCGACGTCTTCGTCTCGTCCTCGTCTTCGTTCCCGCCGCCGTGTATCACCCCTCTCGCCGCCGGCTCTTCTGGCGAGGTACCTGAAGGTCAAGTTCTCTGGTTGGAACCGCATCTCGTTCGAGCGCGTGGTGTCGGGGAAGGACGCCATTCGCAGGAGGAGGAGAAGGAGGAGGAGGAAGAGGAACGAGAAGGAGTCAGAGAAGGAGGAGCAGGAGAGGAGCAGGAGAAACATCGAGGTTTTCCAGAGGATCGACGTTTTCCAATACTTTTGGCATATGTTGGGCCCCCGGAAGCCTCTGGAGCCTTTGGGGTCCTCCTGCGATTTTTGGGGGCCTGCCTTTCCTCCTCATCATATCCGTCTTCCCTCTTCAAATGAACGTTGTGACACACACACACACAGCTCGGGAAGCACATGTTTCTCTTTTTGCACGCGGAGCAGACATCGTCACGCTTTGCCGCAGCGAATATGCGATTAGTTCCTCGCTACGGGCAAGGGCGTGGCAATGAGCGATCAAGTCAGCCAGAATTGTACCGCAGACCGTGGAGTATGTTTTTGACCAGTGCCCAAGCGCAATGACTGACCCGAGCATCATTACATACTTCTTGCAGGTGCATCCCATGTAGCCATTGGATTCCGTCTTAAGACATGCCACGATGCAATCAGAGCATTCATGTCAATCATGTACGCGTTCTGGCTGTTCATCGCAAACCCAACGACGTCTTGGGAGTACGGCAGACGTTGACCCTGAGCACAGAACACTCGAGCCACTGTCTCCCATTAACTTACCGGCGGCGGATCCAGCAGCGGCTCGGACTGCCGCTTGTGTGTCTGCTAAAGCATCGGGTATAGCCAGGACCCCAGGTGAGGGAACCCAGTTAGTAGTAGGGCCCTGGAGCCCCTGAATTGGCCAGAATCACTATACCAGGTCTGCTGTAGCTGGTGTTGTTTCGGGTGACGTTAGTTCCGATTAGTGGAACGGGGCGGGGGGGGGGGCGTCCCCCAGTGCACATCTCCAAACCAGGTCCCACTAAACCCAGTTCTGCCAACGTCCGAAAGCAGACCGCTGCTTGATGGCTGAGTGAGCGATGCCGGACTGGCCATTGGTCGGCGGAGGGACCGAGAGCGAGGCCGCGGCGGCTCCGCCGAGGGCGCCCCCCCCGAGCAGAGCACAGCGCCCGCGGTGCGGGCCCGCGGCCAGCCCCGGAGACGCTGGCACGTGCCTCGGGGGAATCCGCCGGCTCAGCAGCTGTCTCGGGGCGGCGACGAGACGTCGCCGCCGCCGTCGCCGCCGCCGCAACCGCCGCCGTCGCCGGCGGCGGCGGCGGCGTCGTCGTCAGCGGCGTCGGCGTCGGACGACGACGTCCTCGTCGTCGGCAGCAGCGTCGGCGTCGGACGACGACGACGACGACGACGACGACGACGACGACGACGACGACGACGCCGACGACGACGACGACGACGACGACGACGTCGCCGCCGTCGACGACCACGCGTTGGGACCGGGCCCGCCTCCACGAAACCACTGCAGCACTGCCCGCCACTGCTCGGCCTGCCCCGCTCCCGCCGCACGCCCCGCCGCATGCCCCGCCCTGCTGCGCGCCCTGAGCTGCCAGAGATCTTCCGACGCACGGGTCGCTGCCGTCCGCGGGCGGCCGAGGAAACGTACTCCGGGTGGGATATTGATCGAGGAGTGGTCGGGGGCCCCCAAACGGGGTGGTGACCACACCGTGCGGTGAGTCGGTGGGGATTCGGGTTCACGGCACAGTTTTGGGACTCGGGTCGTTTTCCCAGGACGTCTCGGGCGACTGGGGCACCTGTGATCCCAAGACCGTGCGGTGACGGACCGTGCGGTGAGGTCTTGGGGGATTTCGAGGTCACCGCACGGTCTGTCACCGCGCCGTTTCGGGATTCCAAAGGTGGGCTACTAACTTCCTACGGAGCTTGCCCATCCCCCCCCTCCTCCACCTCCTCCTCCTGCCCCCTCCAGAGTACTCAGACATGCTCGCGTCGTGACGAAAGTCACGACGGGAGGTTTTAGGCCGTTTTTCAGCCTCTGGAGGCCCTCGCCAGGCCCCTGGGCCGTCGAAAAACGACTCTGGATGAAAAACCGGTGCCGGGGAAGGGGTCGGGATTTCCAGGGACCGCGCTATGAATCAATGAAGACGTCGCATGTCTGGATGAGACTCGGGCACGCCTGGAACTCGGGTTCGCCGACGCTTTTTGACGGGCCCGTTCTGAGTTTTGACGGTGAAGTTTCCGGGTGTTTGGAGCGGGAGTTCGCGTCAAGTTTCAGGTCGGGTCTCGTCCGTCAGGCCAACCACAGCCCCCCGAACCCGAGTCTTACGCCTCCCCGACGGAGGTCGAGGAATCAGTATTCAACACGAACATCGACTCTCGAAGGTCCAGGGCCATTTGCCCCGATGGGCCGCCTGGACAAAGCGTGGGCGGGAGGCCGGAGGGTTCCAACGAGGGTTTGGGGGGAGGTGATTTTCCAGAGAGCCCCCCAGGGGCCTCGGAACCTCGCCAAAACAGGGGGAGCGAAGCCCCTGGCGGACCCCTCCTGGAAAACCCCCTCCCCCAAAACCCCCTTTGGACCCCTCCGCGTGGGCGGGAGGGGGCGGGAGGGCGATCCACAGCGAGCAGGGGCCGCAGGCATCCACACAAAATCTCATAAGCGTTGCCTTCTCGGAGGTCCGCGCCGATCTCTCGGATCGGCGCTGGGGCCTCTCTCTTCGGGGGTGGACAGGCCTCCTACCCTGACAGGTCGATTAGCGAATTGGCCGTCTTCGGTTCGCGAGAGGGCGTCGCGGCCGTCATTTTTGCGGGTCCAGGTCCGTCGGTTTCGGTCCCAGGCCGTTTTTACTACAGGGAGGTTTACTAAAGGGAGGTTTGTCCACCGCCGGTCTCTCTGGCGCGCGCGGAGCGCTCCAGAGGCAGCCCTGGAGGCGCTGCCAGGGGGCTCCAGCGCCGATCCGCGGAATCCGCGCGCACCTCTCACAGTCCATGCTTCGAGCCTGTTTCTGTTCAGACTCTGGCAGGAACTTACTTGCATGGACGGGGGGGGCCCTGAACCTGAAGCAAGCCGCAGACGACTCGCACGTGCGGAATCACGCAAGTCGAAATGCACTTGCACGCTCGTGTTCGTTTGACGAGGGGTGAGGAGGGGGGCGAACTCCATGCAAGTAAACTTACATGAATCAAATGGCAGGCTCATGCTTGTGTTTTGAAGATTCAGGCAATGTAATTTGCACGGCGCTCGCCCCCCCATCCCCACCCCTCGCCCCTCTTCAAACGCGGCCCACAATAGCCCACGCGTTGCCGATAGGGACCCGATAGCCCGCCCCTCCCAGGACCATGCGGATTCGCTATCGGCGGAGACCCATCGCCGATACATCCGCGATGTACAGCCGATTCCAGGCCGATGTTCCCCCCCCCCCCCCCCCGGGCTGGTCCTCGCTCTGGCCGCCTTGGGCTACCGCTCGCCCTGCCCGCACTCGACCCCCGTCGCCTCGCTGCTCGTCTTGTGCGGGCCGCTGGTTGGCCCGCTCCCTCCTGACCCTGTCCGCCTCCCTGCGGCTCCCCCCCCCTCAGGAGAGGAGGAGGAGGAGGAGGAGGAGGAGGAGGAGGAGGAGGAGGAGGAGGAGGAGGTCCCCATACCGCTACCCTTCCCTCGTTTTCGCCTTTTGGGGCATCCCGGGGAAGCCCTCGTCGCCGCGGCGGGAGCAACCCCGACATTCTGGCCTCCACGCGCCCAGGTGGCGGTCGGGAGAGTGGCGGTATCGGTGCCTTTTGGTTTCCCCCCCCCCCTCCCCCCCCGCATTCTCGTGCAGCACCCTCTTGCACGTTGATCCTCGCCGCATGCTCCTGAATTCCTGCACCAGGATGAGGGAAGGAAGGGGAGGAGGACGACGAGGGGGAGGGGGAGGGGGATGAGGAGGGAGGAGGAGGAGCAGGAAGGGGAGAAGAGGGGGGAAAGAGGAGGAGGAGGAGGAGGAGGAGGAGGAGAAGGAGGAGGGGCAATGAGGAGCGAGGAGGAGAACGGTGACGAGGAGGAGGAAGAGAGAAACGGAGATGTAGGGAGCAGGAGGGAAATGAGGAGGGAGGAGCACTGATGAGTAGCAGCAGGGAGAAGGAGGAAGAGGAGGAGGAGGAGGAGGAGGAGGAGGAGGAGGATGAGGAGGAGGAGGAGGACGACGAGTGGAGGAGAAAGGAGGTCGAGGAGGTGAAGGGGGAGAGGAGGATAACGTGGACATTCAAGATGCGCTCTGGCTGGTAATCCAGCGGATGCCGAGTTACGCGTCTGGGCGAGTCCCCCATACGTGGCCAGGGCATCTGCAACACCTACGAGTTCTTGGCGTACAAAAACCCTGGCCGGATCGACAAGAAGGCCCCAGCGGGTTGGTGGGAGTGAGCGCGGCGAAGTCGATGTTCAAGTCGTGATCTTCCGACTCGCCGCCCAGGGTCCCAGCGATGGGATCGGGCGGGAGCTGCAAAGGTCAACCTCGACCAACACCTTGCGAACCCCACTGGTCGCCCCGATTGTCATGAGTCGGCGGGTCAGCGCACTGGGGGTTCGGAGTCTTGCGACTGTGCCGCCGGGTTTCCCCCGAGAGGCGCCGCCACGGCCCAGAGGACCTCGGAGGAGGGCAAGTCAAGACACCGGCAGCCCTCCCTGGCACTGTTCGTCCTGCTCGGGCCTCCCGGAGGCTTCGCGTCGCCGCGGCCGGATCCGCGTCGAAGATCGAGTCGGGATGGACCCCGTGGGGGGGGAGGTGGGGGGGAGGACGGGGAGGGGGAGGGGGAGGGGGTTGGGGAAGCGGGGTGGGGGAGGGGGGGGGGGAGGGGGACGGGGACGGGGAGGGGGAGGGGGAGGGGAAGGAGGAGGAGAAGGAGGAGGAGGAGGAGGAGGAGGACCAGTGTAACCCCAAGAGTCACCAACGATGTTGGAATAAACCCTCCCCCCAAGCTCCCTCTTCACAGGCCCCTGCAACGGTTCAACTCCACAGAGGGAACTGCCTCGTTCGAAGACAACCGTTGAAAGACCCTGAAGCATACCAAAACATTGTTCTCGGTATTCCAACGCCACGGATCAACTTGACTGTTGCGTCTTGACGATCCTGAATCGTGCCAGAACGCCATTCCTGGGACTTCATAACCGCGAACATTGTCACTATTGCGCCCTCATAATCGGGAACCCTTCCAAAGCACAATTTATTTCTGGTACGTCAATCATGGGGGCCCGCGAAATGCTTGCAAGGTGTTTAACGAGAACTTGCGCGGCGCTATGGCGAGAGCCACATGTTGAAAAGGAGTCGCCCTCAATCTGTGAAACCCTCGCAATTTGTTGAAACGAATATACGCGGCGCTAAGGCGAGAGCCACATTTCGACAACGACCCGCCCGCAGTCCGTGAAACTCTGGCAAATTTTGAAAAAGAATGCACGCGGCGCTAAGGGGAGAACCACATGTTGAAAACCACCACTCTTGCCAATTTTGAAAACGAATGTGCGCGGCGCTAAGGCGAGAACCACATGTTGAAAACCACCCGCCCTCAATTCGTGAAGCACTTGCCAATGTTTAAGCTTCAGGGTCGTACATGGTATGGAAGTCTCAGGCGAAACGCCCGGCCCGCTCTAAAAACTAGCCTCGGGGGGCGACCAAGAAAAATTGCTTATAAGGAGAAGCGGAGGAGGAGGAGAGAGGGAGGGAGGCGCGCGGATGCGCCGATGCTGATCGCAGTTAGGCCTGGCTGGGGAGCCGCCGCCGTCTCGACGGGCCCTCGCACGACCACCGCGCATCGCTCGCGCGTGCCCTTCATCGCCGCGCCACTGAGCAGCCTCGTGTCCCTCTTCGGTCGAAGAAGAAACAACTCGGAGGTTGATAGACCTCCTACCCTGACACGTCGATTAGCGAATTGGCCGTTTTCGGTTCGCGAGAGGGCGTCGCGGCCGTCATTTTTGCGGGTCCAGGTCCGTCGGTTTCGATCCTAGGCCGTTTTTTCTAAAGGGAGGTTTACTAAAGGGAGGTTTTTCCACCGCCGAAAAACGCTATGAACATAAGCTTTTAGCGCTCCGCGCGGATTTCTGGCCCCCCCCTGGCGGCGCCTCCGGCACCGTCCCTCGCGCGCAGGGTCCAGCGCAGATCCGAGCAATCCGCGCGGAACGCCAACAGTTTATGTTTATACCTTATACCGTTGTTTCTTCTGCTACGGTGGGGGCTTTGGTTAAGGAATGTTCCCAGGAGGATGGTTCTTTATTTGATGAGGGCGGCGGTGTCATCCATGGCCTCCAGACCCTGGATTCCTTGTCAACGGGTTCCTTATCCAATGCCCCCACCGTATTTGGGGCAGCCGCAGCCTGCCGCTGGGAGCCCTGGCAGGCCCCTGGCCCTCGGGCCTGCGCGATCCTCGGAGCTCTTCGCGGCACAGTTCGCATCAACGGCATTCCCGGTGCCATTGCTCTTCCGTCAGCGCAGTTACTCTGCCTTTTGAGGACCAGCGGGGCCTGGTGGCCGCGGCGTGCAGGAAGGGCGAGGCATGTCGGGAACTCGCTCGCCAGGTCGAACAAACCCGACCTGCCGCGTCGCCCATTTGTTCCAGAAAGCCATGGATGTGCGTGTGTGTGTGTGTGTGTGTGTCTGTGTGTAGTGTGTGTCTGTGTGTCTGCGTGTCTGCGTGTCTGCGTGTCTGTGTGTGTGTCTTTGTGTGTCTGTGTGTCTGTGTGTGTGTGTCTGTGTGTCTGTGTGTCTGTGTGTATGTGTGTCTGTGTGTCTGCGTGTGCGTGTGCGTGAACGCCGCCGCAAAAAGTTCCTCGTGAGCGTTTCGGAACGGGTTCGCTCCCCCCTCCCTGCGCAGCGGCATCGGCCGTCCTCACAGGCCGCCGCGCCTCGCCCGACGCGCAGCCGCGCGGCCAGGGCCGACGCGGGGCCGAACCCTTCCGGAGGTCGGAGAGAGCGGGAGGGAGGGCCGCCCACTCTCTAGTAGCACCCACGTTCCCCCTCCTCCTCCTCCTCCTCCTCATCCTCCTCCTCCAGCCTCATCCTCCTCCAGCCTCCTCCTCCTCCTTCTCCTCCTCCTTCTCCTCCTCCTCCTCCTCCTCCTCCTCCTCCAACCCGTCCCTTGTCAGGCTGTCTATCCCTTCTGCCTCCCGTCCTCGTCCCTCGGAGCTCGGCCCCCAGGAGACGGTTTCCCCGTCGATTCTAACAAGTTTTTGTTGCGTCGACGGGGGGCTGGGGCAAGCAAGCCAGAAGCAACAGTACAAGCGGAGTTGCTCGAGAATCGAAGACGCCCGCAGGGTTTGCCATGGGTGCGCCGCGTGGGCAGCTTCGATTACTTCCTGGGGTCAGGTATCCCAATATGCACTTCTAGGTTCCACGAGGACGCTGCATCCATCCTGCTCCTGGAGCTCTTATTCGCAGACGTCTGTCTGAAGTTTCGTTCCGCATTGCTTCGACAAGCGTTGCGTTTGCATCGCTTTGGCGCTCGTTGCATCTCATTGCGGTTTCTATCACTTCCACATGGGCTGTCTATGCACTGCGTTTCGTTACATTGCGTCGTGCCGCGTAGCACTTGACAGTGTTGCGTTGCAGTGCCTGGAATTGTGTGGGCCCACATTGGAAAGCCATCGAGAAGTCATTGGAACGCCATTGGGGAACCATTCACAAACCTTCGGAACACCATTGGGAGACCGCTGAGAAATGATTGGAAAACACTTTGAAACCATTAATGAACAATTTGGGGAAAACATAAGGGAGCCTCAATGGCAAAATGGGCGGGGGGGGCATTCTGAACCAATGTGAGGAAGCTTCGCTAGAACTCGAAGGCGAGCTTATTCGGAGAAAGCAAAGCGGATTTCACGCCCTAACAGCCTCTTGCGCTTGCACTCGGGGGGGGGCGGCGAGAATCACGCGAGTCGAAAGGCACTTCTTGCACGCTAGTACTTGCGTAAAGAGGGGTGAGGGCGGGGGGGGGGAAGGAGGAAGAGTAAAAAGAAAAGGAGGAGGAAGGAGGGAAGAGGATGGGGGGGGGGGGGGGCAAACGCCATGCAAGTAAACTTGCCTGAGTCCAGAGAAAAAAACCGTCTCTGGGCCGTCCCCCAGGCTGTGCGGCGTGCCCCGAGCAGAGTCCCGAGGGGAGCCGGGCACCCCGGCGACGGGAGGCGCCCGGGCCAGAGGCCCCTGGAGGAGCGGCGGATACCCAGACCCCCTGAAGCTAGGGAAAAATCACGACGGGAGGTTTTCATCAGAGTGAAGGGGCCGAACGGTCATTCCTTGTCCTTGGGTGCGTGGCTGAAGTGAGAATCCGTGGTGAGGATTATGCTTGTTGCGTTGTTGTTGTTGTTGTTGTCGTCCTTGTTGTTGTTGGTGGTGGTGGTGTTGTTGTTGCTGTTGTGATTGTTGTTGTTGTTGTTGTCGTCGTTGTTGTTGTTTGTTGTCGTTGTCGTTGTCGTCGGTGTTGTTGTTGGTGGTATTGTAGTTGTCGTTGTTGTTGTTGTTGTTGTTGGTGGTGTTGATGTTGGTGTTGTTGTTGGTGTTGCTGTTGTTGTTGTTGTTGTTGTTGCTGTTGTTGTTGTTGTTGTTGTTGTTGTTGTTGTTGTTGTTGTTGTTGTTGTTGTTGTTGTTGTTGTTGTTGTTGTTTGGCGTCGTTGTTATTGTCGTCGTTGTTGTTGGTGGTGGTGTTGTTGCAGCTGTTGTTGCTGCTGTTGTTGCTGTGGTTGTTGTTGTTGCTGCTGTTGAACGCTCATTTCTGAATAATATTTTTTGTTGATCCCCCCCCACCGGTGCATACTGTTCTTTCTCAATCAAAGTGTGCCCCTCGACACTCGCACCCTGTTTTTTTGACAGGGGATGTCTTGATGCTCAAACTGGGCCCCTGGCCCCCGGGTTACAACAACAACGGCTCCCGCCTGGGACCATCACAGATCGATCAGGCTCGAAAGATGCAGCAGACATATGGGGGGTCTCGGTTTCAGGGCTCCTTCCTGTCGTGATCCTTCGCGAGGTTGTGATTTTTGTCGCAACGTCGGATCTCGAGGTGAGATGAGGGCGAGGCGAGGCAACGGCAGGTTGGCCTTGGGGAGGCCCGTTATTGCTACGGCTGGACGATTTGGACCCCGGGAGGGGGTCCGGGGACAGATTCCGAGCTGTCGTTGGCTCAGCTCGCCCGGCTCCGAACTGGGGACGGGGACCGCCGGCAGATCTTGTCCGTTCACCGCAGCCGTTGGCAGTGCAGTCGGACCGAGGCATAAGATCGAGGTCGGCTCGGGGAGGGTATGCCCTCCTGTTCTTGGTGCTTGTAGGATGTTCTCGCGCATCCTCAGGAGGGTGCCCTTGGATGTTATGTTGTTTGTTGGGGGGCTGAGGGTCTCGAGAGTCTTGGAAGACGTTCTTCTGGCCCAGGTTCGACCGTGCCTCTCGGCAGCGTCTGGGTGAGTGCCCGTGCGCCGAGGGAGCAACGGGCGTTTGGGCTCTGACTTCTGCTGCGCTGCCCTGAGATTTGCCGATGGGCCTGTTTTCCACCACCACCACCACAAGTAGGAGGGGGAGGGGGTCCTCCTCCTCCTCTTCCTCCTCCTCCTCCTTCTCCTCCTCCTCCTCCGCCTCCTCCTCCAACTGCTTCCCCCCTCTAATTTATGGTAGTGGTGGTGGTGGTGGTGGTGGTGGTGGTGGTGGTGGTGGTGGTGGTGGTGGTGGTGGTGGTGGTGGTGGAAAACAGGCCCATCATTTGTCCATGCTCCTATCTCTGTTGAATTAGGACTCGCTGCTGGTGCTTCCGCGGAAGTCGCCCACGCGAGGCGGGAAGTCGCGTGCCCAACGGCGGCCGCAGGGAAGGAATCGTCCACCCCTCCCCCTGCTGTTCGGAAGACCTTCCGATGTCTCTGGAGGCGTCCCGAGGCAAAGGGGAGCCAAGCACGCGGGGAGAATGTCCAACTTATTGCCCCTAGCGAGCATTGTCGATTTCTTCCCTTTCTTTCTCCGCTTGATATTAGCCTTGTTCGTGCCGCCCGATGGGGACAAGACATGGGCTCATAGTCAGAGAGCCGACCCTTTCACCCGAGTCAGCGCTGTAATTACCGAGTTGTGGAGCGCGAGGGCAGGGCTTGCCCGCCACTTTTGGGCAGCATGCCGTGTCCAAAGGTAACGTAAAGCAGCGATTACGAACACACACACACACACACTAACATTCATCATTCGTCGTCGACCTCTTGTTTGTGTGTCCGGGAGGTCCACAGCGAGTACCTGGCGTCGAGAGAGAACGCGGGCATCGTCGCCCAGAACGCGCGGCCGGGGACGCTGCCGCCACCACCCACCGATGCCCTTGTGCGCGACAGGTCGGGGTCCAGGACTATCTAGACGCGATCTGTGGCGAACGGGGTCGCGGTAATTATCCGGGGGCCCGCGTCACGAACCAAATCGCGACGCTGGAGGTGTGGTGGGAGCATCCGTAGAGCGAGGCGCAGAGCAGCCAGGGGCGAGGTCAGCTGGGCACCGCGCTGGCAACACCCCCATGGAGGGTCGCACCGCCGGTCCCCGGGCCAGCCTGGCAAGAGAGAGCCGTCCAGTGCGGGTCCCAGTCCTCAGCCCTTGAATGGTGGGAGCCCAGCCCACCGCACACCTCACGCGCGAGAGCCCGCTGTCCGGCACGCCCCTCCCCGCGTCGAAGCGCCTCAGACAGCGTGAAGGGTGCGCGACCACACCGCGCCTCGTGGGTCCCGCGACCTCAGCGAGGGCGGAGGGTCCTCGCTCTGCGGCAAGCTTGCGGAAGTGAGGTGAGAGGAGGAGGAGGAGGAGGAGGAGGAGGAGGAGGAGGAGGAGGAGGAGGAGGAGGAGGAGGAGCAGCAGAAAGCGGAAGGAAGAGGAAGAGGAGTTGAATAGAGAGACTAAAGCGTCCCACCAGTCGATGAAACGCCTGGCGACCGCGGCGGGATGTGCCTCCGAGAGGCGATCATAATTTCGACCACTCCAGGGCCTCGCAGACCCGAAGCGCCCTGGGGACCTCACCACCTCAGGCCTCCCAAGGACGGACTTTCGGAGCCGCCTTGCAAGGCAACTGGCCTGTTAGCTGCTGCTCCAGCTGGTGCTAGCGGGCCGAGCCGAGTCGTGACCTCATGCCGCGAACTTGCCGGTGCCGAGCGCGAGGTAGCTTGTCACTCGACGGGCTTACCGATGCCGTCGTCCAAGAAAATGGGCGGTGACGGGCGCGCCTGTCTGGCACCAGGCTCGGCCGCCGCGAGCCAGGCCGAAGTCCCCACCGAGGCAGCAGCCGCGCGTGACTCACACGCTCATGGCACCACTCATCCAGGGCGAGAAGCGGCGGGAGCCATCGCCTCCGAGACGCCTTACGCGACTGCGCCGAGGCGGGCCAGCTCCAGGCGCCGAGGCGGACTTTGTGACCTCTGAGCGGGCGGCGGCCAAGCGCCGAGCAAGCATGCTCGCGCACAAACCTGCTCGCGGCCGACGGGGTCGAGCGTCGTCCGTGGCCCAGGCCGGGCCATCGGGGCGGCCGCAGGGCCCATCTTGTCGGAGAACCCCTTGCGGCACAGCTTCGCAATCTCCATCCAGCACGACGTGCAGCAGCAGCAGCAGCAGCGGCAGCGGCAGCAGCGGCAGCAGCGGCGCTGCCGGCTCCGTCTACGTGATGGCCACGCTCGCGGCGATCTTCGGCAGCACGTGCGCAACCCTCAGGGTCGTGAGGTCCAGAAGGGCCGCAACCGCCAGCAACCCTATGCTCAGCGACAGGCCGCTGAAGACCCTCAACTCCATCAGGCCGACGCGCCAGCTCAACGAACGCATCATCCCTACGATCTCCCTCCAGGCCTCCTGTGCCAGGTACCTCTGCGTCATGGCCACACTCATGGCGAGCTCCGCCACCATGTTCGGCGCTTGCAGGGCAAAGTGGACCCCGACCACCAGCATCGCCATGCCAGACCCTTGCCACACGGGCCGCTGAACTCCCTCGGCACTGGCACGCTGACGCCCTTGCTCCGCGAGCGCCAGGTGCAACGCGCGACCGGGCCGCGGCAGTTCCTGGCCGCTGTGCGCCGCGGTCTCCGCGAACACCCTAGGTCGCGAGGTGCTGGGCAGCGCGGCCCCTGCGCCCGCGAGTATGGCGCGCGGCCCTCCGCGGCCGACCCCTTCGGGCGGCGGCCACGCCGCAGCCCATGCATCTGGTCCATCCCGCGGCGAGGGGGGCGAGGGGCGGGGGGCAGGGAGGTGAGATGACCGAGGGGCCCCAGGGCGGCGCGCAGGCGCCGTGGCGCCGTGGCGCGGGCTCGGGATCCCAAGATAGGGCCGAGCTGGCAGTCAGGAGGAGGAGGAGAAGGAGGAGGAGGAGGAGGCAGAGACAGAGACGGAGACGGAGACGGAGACGTAGGATGAGCCGGCGGAGTTGAAGTAGGAAGAGGAAAAGAAGCATCAGGAGATGGAGGAGGAGGAGGAGGAGGAGGATCCTAGGGATGGAGGAGGAGGAGGAGGAGGAGGAGGAGGAGGAGGAGGAGGAGGAGGAGGAGGGAGGAGGGGGAGGAGGAGGAGGATCCGAGGGATGGTGTCGGGGGCTCCGTTGTGCAGAAGTTGCGCTCTGCTCCTCGGGGCTCTACTTCTGCCACGACGGATCCACCGGGTCTCCTCAGTGACGATGTCGGCTTCCGCTTTGGGTGTGCACGTAATTCGTCCTCATTTCCTTCCTTCACGCTCCCTCAGCTCTCTCCTATTCTCCCCGGGAATCGACTGTCTAGTCGAGCGTCGCGGCTCCAACCCTCCTGACCGTTTGCGGGTCCCGTCCAGTCCTGTGGGGGCATCGGGGGAACGTGGGGAGTCCGCGCACCTTCCTTTCTTTCCTCGAGCCCTGGCACAGTTCAAGGCTGGCCACTGCGAAGATGACACCTGGGAAGGGCAACAGCAATGGACAGCACGGCACAGAGCGGCACGTCACTGCACCGCGCAGCACGCCGCAAGATTCGCCAAAGCAGGAAGTGGAGGAGGATGAGGAGGAGGCGGGGGAGGAGGAGGAGGAGGAGGAGGAGGAGGAGGAGGAGGAGGAGGAGGACGAGGAGGAGGACGAGGAGAGGGAAGAGGAGGAGGAGGAGGAGGAGGAGGGAGGAGGAGGAGGTGGAGGTGGACGAGAAGGTGGAGGTGGAGGTGGAGAAGGAGGAGGAGGAGGAGGAGGCGGAGCGGAGGAGGAGGAGGAGGAGGAGGTGGACACAAGGAGGTGGAGGTGGAGGAGGAGGAGGAGGAGGAGGTGGAGGAGGAGGAGGAGAAGGAAGAGGAGGGGAGCAGGATGAGGAGGTGGAGAAGGAGGAGGAGGAGGAGGAGGAGGAGTAGGAGGAGGAGGAGGTGGAGAATGAGGAGGAGGAGGGGGAGCAGGAGGTGGAGGAGGAGGAGGTGAAGAAGCAGGAGGATGAGGAGGTGGAGAAGGAGGAAGAGGTGGAGAAGGAGGGGGAGGAGGAGGAGGAGGAGGAGGAGGAGCCAGGATGGGCATGTCCAGGTCCAGAGCCCGCGTGAAGTCGACATGCTCTCAGGTCGACCGCTGTTGCCCCTGGAGCGGCCGAGCCGTGCTCCATGCGGCCGGCTCCAGAAACGCTCCTCGCTGTTCTAACCCTCCACTCCCTCCTCTTCCAGCTCCTCCTCCTCCTCCTCCTCCTCGGCCTCCTCGGCCTCCTCGTCCTCCTACCCCTCTCCTCCGCCCCCTCCCCCTCCTCCTCCGCTCTCCTCCTCCCCCTCTCCCCCTCCGCTCGCCGCTGGCAGGATGAACAACAAGCCACTCGGCAATCGGCAAGCTGAAAGCCGCAAAGCCGCAAAGCCGCAAAGAGCCTAATACGGCGGGAAGCAGCTAACAATTCGCACCGCTGAACGAGCCGAGTCCAGCAAATTTCTGTCAAACCCAGCCCCACCATTCCGCCGTGTCAACTTCTCCTCGTCGTCCTCTTCTGTTCTTGTCCTCGAACTTCTTCCTCTTGATTCCGCTTCCCTCTCCGTCCCCACGTTTTGCTCGCTGTCGTTAACGTTGTCCTGGTCGTATTCTGTTTAGCATACCATTGTTCCAACGTAGAAAAATGGTAGCATCCCGCAGCATCCCACGGCGGCCGGACTTTGGAGAGATGCGGGGGGGCTAAATGTGCAAGCTATGGGGTGCAAACCACTTTGACTGACTTGAAGCTGTCCTCTCCACTGCTCGTGCAAACATCCCACCCTCCCACCCGCAACTTGGTCGCAAGACCTCTTAAGACCGTGACGGTCGGTGGGTACCAAATGGCACTTGGCAACGACAGCGACGCCGACGACGACAGCGACAACGACGACGACGACGCCGCCGACAACGACTACGACGACACCGACGACGTCTCCAACGACTTCGACGACGCCGACAACGACGATGACGACGACAACACCGACGACGACGACGCCGACGCCGACGACGACGACGACGATCACAACGACGACGACGATGACGACGCCGACGACGACGACAACGACGACACCGACGACGACGACGTCAACGACGCCGACGACGACGACGACGACGACGACGACGACGACGACGACGACGGCGGCGACGACGACGACGCCGACGACGACGACGACGACGAAGACGACGACGACGACGACGCCGACGCCGACGACGACGACGAAGACGACGACGACGTCGCCAATGACGACGACGACGACGAGGGAGGAGGGATGACGACGACGGCGACAATGACGACAACGACGACAACGACGAGGGAGGAGGGAGGACGGCGACGACGCGAACGACGAAGAAGGAGGAAGGACGGCGACGCCGACGACGACAGCGACGAGGGAGGAGGGAAGACGACGACGACAGCGACGACGACGACGACGGCGACGAAATAGGAGGGACGACGGCGAGACGCCGACGACGGACGACGACGACGACGAGGGAGGAGGAGGAAGGACGACCACGGCGACAACGACGACGGAAACGACCACGACGCCAAAGAGGAGGACGACGACGAATACGAGGAAAGACAGAGGACGACATAGGCGACGACGACGACGACGCGGGAGGAGGGAGGACGGCGACGACGACGACGACGACGCAAGAGCGCGCGCGCACGCTTTGATTTGTTGAAAATCCGTGTTGCGAAACTTTGTGTCTTTGTAGGTTTTTTGGACACACGATGTTGAAATCCTTCCGAAGCCGATCGGTTTTGAAGGATTCCGGCATACGCGCGCGACGACGCGAGCGTCTGCATTTCGTCCCAGCTGTTGCAGAGGATTCTCGCGACGGCACACGCGCAAGGGCGTCCGACTGATTTCGACATGCGCGCGCGAAGTCCGTTTGGTAGTATTTTATGAGAATCTTGAAAGACCCATGGTTTTGTTAAGATTTCGCA